ACACACTTTGACTAAAGGGGCACGTGCGGGCGCTGCTCTTCTAAGCACTAAGAGAATCCAGCAGAAGCAGTGGTTAATCCACTTAGGAGACTGTCAACTGGCTTAAAATTTCATGCCTTTGCTGCCAATCCCCAAGGAAGGTATTTTCCCCTTCGGTGAACGTACGGAAATGACAGAAGCAGGGCAGTCTCTTGAATGCAATTTTTTTTTTTTTTTTAAGATTTTATTTATTTATTTGAGACAGAGAGAATGAGAGAGAGAGAGAGCACATGAGAGGGGGGAGGGTCAGAGGGAGAAGCAGGCTCCCCGCTGAGCAGGGAGCCCGATGCGGGACTCGATCCCGGGACTCCAGGATCATGACCTGAGCCGAAGGCAGTCGCTCAACCAACTGAGTCACCCAGGTGCCCCTTGAATGCAATTTTTAAAAATGAGAATTGTCTCTCTTTCAAATCGGCTAAATATGAGTTTTCTAGTAAGACAGGCACACAGAGAGCAGCGGGACCAGCGGTGTGGCGGCAGAGGTGGGATGGCTGGGAGTGGCCACGCTCCGCAAGCCCGCAGTCAGGCGCTCGCTGCGGGAAGGTACTTTGCAGATGTGATAAAAGTCGGCCAGGGCGCCTGGGTGGCTCAGTCGTTGGGCGTCTGCCTTCGGCTCAGGTCATGATCCCGGGGTCCTGGGATCGAGTCCCACATCGGGCTCCTTGCTCGGCGGGAAGCCTGCTTCTCCCTCTCCCACTCCCCCTGCTTGTGTTCCTGCTCTCGCTATCTCTCTGTCAAATAAAGAAATAAAAATCTTTAAAAAAAAAAAAAAGTCGGCCAGGAGCTGATTTTAAGGAGATCATCCTCAGTGACCCTGGGTGGGCCTGACTCCATCAGCGGGAAGGCCCCTGGGAGCAGAGCCAGTTCCTGGCACTAAATCTCTTAATGCCCGTCCCTGCTGGTTCTGCTGCTTGGACTGATACGGTGGTTTTCAAACCGTGTGTGACCCGAACGCAGAAGCGGGGTGGGGGGCAGGGCTCTGCAGCGCGGCTGGCCCCTGCTGCGGGCTGTGGGGGTCAGTGGCGTGGCAGAAGGCGCTGCCTGGGCCATGAACCACAGGTCACGGAAGCCACCGGACACGGGGCCTGCCCCACACCAGTGAGCACACTGCCTGCACCTCTGGGTCCATGCCTGCACTCGCTGTCCCCGCTAGTGTCCTGGGCCCCTCCCCTCTGGCTTCCTGTGGGCCTTGCCAGCAGGGCGCACCGGCAGGAGATGGCAGGTGATAAGAGAGGGAGGCCGGGTGTCCATTTCCTCCTCCGCCCGCTGGGTCTCTAGGGGTCAGCAGGGTCCCACTCTGAGCCCAGTGCCACCTCCCTGGCACCTCCTGGTCCAGAGTCTGCGTGGCGCCCCATGTCCTCCCATGTTACAAAATCACCCTCTAAGGACTTGTGTCTGTCTCCTCACTTCAACCGCCTCCCCACCCCTGCTGGCGGAAGGGGACGATGTGGGGGAGCCCGGACTCTGCCCCCCACTCCCTCTGGGCCCCAGTGTCACTGCGCTTCCCTGGGGAGCCCTTCCAACCCCAGCAGCCCCTAGCAGAGCGCCACACCCTCCCTCCCACCTGTCTGGGAGGTGCAGCCCATGCCGTACTCACGTAGGCCATGCCGTACTCGATCTCGGCACCCCGCACCTCTGCCTTGAACTGCGTGAAGTATAGGTAGGACTTGCCCTGGGGCCTGCAAAGGAAGGGCAGGCAAGGGAGTCAGCCCTGGCCTCCTCAACATCGTTTATTCTTTCCTCTGTACTAGAACATTCTTTTGGCTCATTTACTGACAAGTCTGTTTCTCCTTCTGGGTGCAAGCTGTTCTAGGACAGGGACTGAACACTTTTTCATGAAGTGCCAAAGACATTCCAGGTATTGTACCAGGAACCAGGGAAAGGCAACATCCCAGGGGCTGAGAAGTACAGGAATTAAGTAGGCAGAGGAGGGAGAGAGCAGAGGGCAGAGGTCCCGTGGAGAGTGCAAATGGGGGCATTTAAAGACCACCAGGTCAGCATGACCAGAGCGGAGGGGAGCTGAGAGAGGGCTGGTGGCAGCAAGGGGTGACAGTGTGTGCAGGGTGAAGAGCCCTGTGTGGCTGCGTGCGGAGAGCAGACAGTGATGGGGGCGGGGGTGGAGAGGCAGCAGGGGGGCCAGGAGAGTCCTGCTGGGGGCAAGTCAGGAGGGAGGCGGGGGGAGGTCCAGGGAGCCTCCTGGACTCTCTAAGCCCCAGCGGCTGCGCCGGGCCTGGTCAGTCAATGTGTGAAACTGGGAGAACAGCCCGTTCAGGCAGGACCTCTTGCTAAACGGGTGGCCCCGCAGTCAGGGCGGCTCTGGGGCTGAGCGTGGCCACAGGCCTCTGTGGCCTGGCGCTGTGCCCACCTAGGGTGCTGGTGCTCACGTGCCCAGTCATCAGGGCGGCCCCTGGGGCCCCTCTGCCTGCTGCCGACAGGGGCCGGTCCACAGAGCGGGTCAGAATGTCCCCCAACACTGCCTAGTAAGCACCTGCTGTTTACAGAGCATCAGGCAGAAGCCTGGGGGGTGCTGCCTGCAAGTAGGATGAGAACACGGGTGTCCTTTGATTCAACGTCGCTGCCACGGCCCTCCAAGTGCTCCGTCCCCCTCTGCCGATCCCCTGCGAGGGTGGGACCACGGCTTGCACTTCTGTGCATCCCCCGAGGTGCCTGCACCATGCCAGACCCACGACCAACGCTGGAAGAATCAGATCCAGGCCGCAGAGCCCAGGGGAGCAGGGCTAGGATGTGATACTCTCCAGCGCCCTCCCCCACTGAGTTGAGCAGCCCCTTCCCTCCATCCCTTCTTAGGCCCACCGCTCACTCATGCCGCACTGCAGGGTGGGGAGACAGAGGGGGATGATGCGGGGGAGCCCAGACCCTCCCCCCCACCCCTTCTGGGCCCCAGTGTCAATGCGCTTCCCTGGGGAGCCCTCCCAACCCCAGCAGCCCCCAGCACAGCGCCACACCCTCCCTCCCACCTGCACGTGGGTGACCATCACCCCCAGCCCATGCTCCTCAGAGGTGCCGGTCCCTGCTGCCTGGAGGCCCTGCGGGCACACCCCCCCCAGCAGCCTCAGCGCATTCCTGCAGGGGAGATCCCCCCCACCGGGACCCTGGGCTCACCTCCAGATGGTGCAGGTGAAGTGCTGGTGGTCTTCGCTGGTTCCCAGGCTCATCTGCCACTTCTGGGGAGAGAGGGGAAGATACAGGTCAGCCCAGGACTGCAACTGGATGCCCTTCAGTTCTGCAAAGGGAGTGAACCTTCCCAGGGCCTCCAGGCTGGAGCCTGGCTCGGGGGCAGGGAGACTCCTCTGGGCGAGACCACGGTGGTGGGCATGTGTCCTCATACGTCCATCCCCACCCTCAGTGCAGCACTAAGACTGAGCCAGACTGTCAGCTATGGGCTTGGAGTGGCCGTGATGCGGCCGTGTGGGCTCGGTGACGGTCACAAGCGTCCCGCTCTCGGTGGCGACCGTCAATGATGGGGGGAAGCCGTGGGGGTGGTGTATCAAAATCTGTGCCTTGTGCTCACTTCTGCTGTGAACCTAAAACGGCTCTAAAAAATAAAGCCTATCAAGAAAAAGAAACACTAAAATAAAAGGAGACCATATATTCATGCTTGTTGGCATGTACGTTTTGCTAGTAAGATGCGAGTTTACAGTTCCCTCCCCCGAGTAATAATATCCTCCCAGTACTGGTACTCCTGGTTGAACACCAAAGCTGCTTCACGAACAAAAACAAGGCCATTTTTAGGTTAATCACGACGGGAGTAAGCGGATGCCCAGATGCCGTCTGCCTGCAGCAAGAACGTGGGGACCAGTGACCAGCTCGTCAAAGGGACGGCTGCGGGCCACACCTGCGGACTTGGCAGACTCTTCTCCCTATCTAAAAACACCTGTCCGTAGCTCCAAGGCCTGTGAGCACCTGGAAACGTTTTATGCTACGAAATATATCTGAGAGGTTTCCCACAGCTCTGAAAAGGCTCTTGAAGATGAGGCAAATGTTTAAACACTGTTTAAGACATTATGAATGCAGGGACGCCTGGGTGGCTCAGTCGGTTGGGCTCGGGTCATGGTCCCAGGGTCCTGGGATCGAGTCCCACATCGGGCTCCTTGCTCAGCGGGGAGCCTGCTTCTCCCTCTGCCTGCCGCTCCCCCTGCTTGTGCTCTCTCTCACACAAATGAATAAAATCTTTTTAAAAAAATCATGAATGCAAACAAACTTAAAACCGAGAGTTTCTTAGTAAGAGGATCAACATCCCTCTGAGTGGCCTTCTGGTTATGTGAGCTTGACCGTGGTCTCGTGGCTGCAGGGCGCGATGGGCAGATGGTAAGCCTCAGGTCTGGGCAGGAGACATTCATGTGTGTGTGTGTTCTGGGGACAGCCTGAACACCTGGGGAACTCGGCACAGGAGTGGCCAGGTGTGACAAATGACACATAACTGGTAGCCGCGATTAGTTTTTGATAAGATATAAATCACAGATGGAGAAATGTGCCCATTTTGGTGACAGTTCTTGGAGCTCTGACAAATGCTTCTAGCTCCGTGTCCACCATCCAATCAAGATACAGACCAGATCTATGTCCCTGGATCCCCCAGCCCCTTCCCTCTGCAGTTAACCCCTTCCTGCAAATTCCTGGTAACTGCTGACCCCATCTCCGAGTTGGGCCTTTGTAAAACTGTCACCGGAGTGGAATCAGGCAGAATGCAGTCTTGTGTGGTTTCACTTAGCGTGGGGCACTGGAGAGTCATCCACGCTGCCGCCCATGTCCACGGTTCATTTATCCAACAGCCTGACTGAGAAGTATCTACATACTACACCCTCACATGGTGTACGATTCTGTGTTTTCTAGCATATGCAAAGGTCTGCAACCATCACCATGATCTAGTTCCAGAACATTCCATCACCCCATAAAGAAGCCCCATCCCTTCCCCTCTCCCCAGCCCCCATTTCTGCGAGCCCCCTTCCCGCCCACGGATGAGCCTGTTCTGTGCGTGTCACACACGTGGACTCACACCCTGTGTGGCCTTCTGTGTCTGGTTCCCTCCCTGAGCGTCGTGGGCTCGGGGTCCGTCCCCGGGGCCGTGCGCGTGGGCGCCTGGCTCCTGTTTGCGGCTGAGGGACGCTCCCGAGTGGGGGACACATTATGTGTATCCGTTCACCCACTGATGGGCACCAAGTTGTTTCTACTTGTTGGCCACTGTGAATCCCGCTGCTGTGAAGGGTCACGTACACATTTCTGTGTGGGTGACTTTTCATTCCTAGTGGGATGACACCTCGCAGTGAAGTGCAGGGTTATATGGTGAGCGTACATTTAACTTTGTAAGGAATGGCTGGTTTGCATCCGCACCGAGCACGGCCTCCCGGCGAGCACTGAGAGATTATGAATCACCCTGTGCCTACTGTCCCCAGCCAGCACTGGCTTCTTAGGTGACCCTCTGCAGAAACAAACCATTATCGAAGGAGCAAGTGCATCAGAGGCTCCGGCTCCGAGCTGTGTGCGCCCGCCACCACGGGTCCTCCTGGGCGCCGACCAGGAACTGGGCTTTCTTCTGACGACACCCCTGCAGGGATGCCCCCGGGGCCTCTCAGACTTCCGTTCCAGCTGCTCCAGGGGGCATCACTGCGATGTCTCCCTGCACGTCACCAGGCGGAAGCCACAGAACATCAAACCATCCCTGCACATTTGCTGAGAATCTGGCCTGCTACTCGCTTGTGAGGTGGCCACAGGACAGCCACCAAAGAGCCCACGGGCTGGGGGTGCCCCATCTGGCTCACGCAGCACCACCCGCCCCAGCGCCCGGCTCCCCGTGGTCTCGTCACTGCGCTAGACGGCTGCTGCTGGGACAACGCCGTGCCACCACATGTCTGCTCTGCTTAAAGGTGATTTCTTCAAGATGAACCCCCTCTTCCAAAACAAACGAATTTAGCCTATTCCAAGACAAGGCTCCAGCCTGCGGTCGCCCCAGCCAGTGTGCATGAACTTGGCTCTCCCTTACCCGACGCAGCAGCAGGCTGTCCACCTCTAAGAGTTTAAGTTTAGTCGGGGGTGGGGGGAGAACAGGGCACATGTGCTCTCTTCCAAGCTGCTGGTGACACTGGGTCAGGAGCACAGAGCAGTGGTTAGGGGTCTGTGCCCTGTGCACCTCAGTCACTTCCCAGCTGGGCAAGCCCGGGCCTCCATGTCCTCGAGTGTGAAATGGGGTAACACCAGAGCAGTTTGGCCTCCTGGGGTTGTGGAGAGGAAGAAATGAGATGTGTGTGTGGCTCAGCACAGCGTGGGGCACCCGATAACCACCACAGGAGAGGTGCTACTTCGGTTCATTGTCCCGTAAATCAACTGTCTACACACATCCAAAAGGCTGCCACGTGGAAGATGGTGCATTGGGACTGGCTCTGGGTGCCTGGGGGTAGGCTGGACTCATGGGCTTTGGCTCACCATTACGAGGAACGTTCCACCACTTGGCTTCATCCCATAGTGGAAGGACTAGCTGGAGAAGCAGCGAGGCCTGGAGCTGTGGCAAGAAGGGGTGGACAATGGCAGGACGCCTGCTGTCCTGGTGGCGGGGGTTACCGTTTGTTTGCTACATTTTGTTAAAATACTGTCACTGGGAATCATTTACTTGCAAAGACGACATATCTAGAATAACAAAAATCACTCTTGCCCAGTGGTTTCCAACGAGGGATAATTCCGTCCTTCAGGGAACACTGGTCAATGTCTGGAGATGTTTTTGGAAGTCACGACTGGGGACTGGGGTGCTCCTGGCACTGAGTGGGTGGGGCCAGGAAGGCTGCTCAAGGCCCCAGTGCCTGGGACGGCTCCCTCAGAGAACAACCTGGCCCCGAATCCCGGACGTTAGAGGTGCCAAGGGTGGAGAGAGATCTGCTCTTGCCCATTTCAACGTGCCGTCCCAAGTGGGAGGAGAGAGGGGCTGAGAACCGGCTTGCTGGGAGTGTCAGGCACATGAGAGGCTCCCAAGCAGCCTCCCCCTCTACGACTCTACGCTGCTGGTTGACACAGTACTACACACTATTCTGGAGCAAGAGCAGTATTTCCTAAAGACTGGTTGTCGGGGAGGAAAGCACAATTAGGGATAAAAAGATCTTCGGTCAGGTCAATGAAGATGAGGGGGTTTGCTTCTCCCTCTGCCCCTCCCCCTGCTCATGCTCTCTCTCTAATAAATGGATAAAATCTCAAAAAAAAAAAAAAAAGAAAAAAAGACAGTTTTTACTGATTTTTATAGTGATGATGGATTCTTCCTTTTCATTTTTCTTTTATTCTTTCTAACCATGTTGAGCAGAAAATCTGTGCATCTTCCCGAAAACTTGCAGCTCTCCCTCCCAATAATACCAAGCAGTGGTATGCAGAAAGCACTCCATGCCAGTCCTTTATTCTCAGAGCACTCTGTAATGGTGCATCACTGCTAGTCTGCTGCTGTGGGCATTGCTGCCTGCAGCCGCCATAACCAACCACCCCAAACTTGCGACCTTACAACCACTACCACTTCTTCTCTGCCGGTTCTTGAGGCCAAAAGTCGAAATCAAGGTGTCCCCGGGCTGGGCTCCCTCCGAAGGCTGTGGGGCAGCAACCTTACTGCCTCTTCTGGTTTCCAGTGGCTCCAGATGCCCCTTGGCTTGTGGCCACACCCCTCCATCTTTGGCTCCATCTTCACATGGCCTTTTCCTCTGTGTGTCTTCTCCTCTTCCATCAAATCTCTCCTGAGTGTCTCTTCTAAGACGAGCTGTCACTGGATTTAGGGCCCACCTGGATAACCCAGGATGATCTCTTCATTGCAAAATCCTGAACTTACATCTGCAAATATTTTCTTCTAAATAAGGTTACATTCACAGGTTCCAGGAATTAGAATGTGAACATATCTTTGGAGGGGGGGCATTCAAGTCACCACCCTGCATGATAAATGACCACAAATTTAGCAGCTTAACTGCACTGTCCACTGATAAGCTCTCAGTCCCCGAGGCAGAAACTGGCCATGGCAGGCCCTCTGCTCAGAATCTCACAGACTGGACTCAAGGTGTCAGCAGACTGTACCTGTCTGAGGTTCAGAGTCCTCTTCCATTCAGTTCTTGTGGTGGTAAAACAGAAGTGTTGCCACAAGCCAGGAGCTGCCCTCAGCTCTGAGAAGCCACCTGCGCTCCTTGCCCTGTGCCCCCCTCACAGCCAGCAATGGTGAGTCACATTCTTCTTATGCTTCAGATCTCTTATTTCCTCTCTGCACTAGCTACTGGAGAAAACAGCCACCAAGAAATGGGGACCTCAGTCCTACACGGCAAGGAACTGAATTCTACTGACAACTTGAATGAGCCTGTAGATAAGAGCCCTGCCAGTTGACAACTTGATTTGGGCTTTATGAAATACCCACCTGAGCTGCGCTTCTGACCTCCAGAATTGTGAGATAATAAATGGGTGTTGTTTTAAGCTGCTACGTTTGTCATGATTTGTCATGCAGCACAGAAGGCAAATAAAATACTCCTAAGAGAGGCTCACAGGTGCGGCACGTCCTTATCTCACGAGCCTCTTTCCATCCAGACGTTTGCTCACTCTGTGGAATTATAGGGGGGGAATCTACCATCACTAGTTACCTTGAGCATTATCTTTTATTGGTGAGACAAGAACAGTTCAATAAGTTTAAGTTAATTAAGGTACGACCCAACTCCATTGCTCCCTGGAGAGCATCTCTCCATGACAGTGGATACTGCCATACAAAACTATGTGGAACTTTGAACAACTCACCTCGTTGGTCCCTCCTTGAGAAGCGTAGGTGAATGCACAAGTGTATTTGTCCTGGAGAATGGAAGGTGGAAAAAAGCTTGTTAGGAGGTGATCCTTATTGCTTATGGTGGAGGGTCTCAGGATGTCCTCTGAGATCCAAAATCAAGAAGATCCAGCTTTTGAGCATCTGCACTAAGGGGAAGGAAGCAGAGCAAGATTCCTGACTGATGTCCCTGGAGGCCAGCCTCACAAGGTCTCCCAGTGTCTACCGACCTAGAACTCCCCTACCTGCCCCCCTGCTAATGAGCTCCTGAGTCAGGACAAACAACTCAGGTGGCTTCTGGGTGTGAAGAACAGGAAGGGGGAAGGGGGAGGTCCCACGCCCTCCAAGCACCCACCCATCTAGGCACATGGACTTTGGAAGCAGGACATGAACACCAGAAGACCCATCTCCGCTCTGCTGTGGGCCTTAGACAAGTGAAAGCTTTTTCTGAGCCTGTTTTCCTCATCTGTGAAATGGTCCTAGCAAATCAAGCATTTGGCACACTATCTGGCTATAAGGAAGTACTCAATAAATGGCAGCTATCAACATCCGTACAGACACGGAAATCAAAGATGGGAGGGGAAGGACTTCTCCAACAAGCTGGGGACAGGCCTGGGCTGGACCCCGGCTTGCTGACCTCCAGGTGAAGAGGGCCTTGCCTCACACCTCAATGAAAGAGAGGGAAGGCCTCGTGCAATGGAGAAAAAGAGCAAAGTCTGTCCACCTCCTCGCTCGTCAGAGCTGCAGCGGAGTTGACCTTCTACGGGGCCTGGAGGCGAAATACCCCTTAGCCTCCTCTCTCCCCACCTCTGGGGCGGCTCAGCCCTCCGATGGCCGGGGACTCGCCTGGTCTGGGAGTGAGGGCTGCGTGGGCACGCTGGGCATGTGAGAGGAAACAGGGACTGAGGCTGGCGACCCGACCCTCCAAGTCCCCCGACCCCAGGACGCCGAGCTCCCGTAAGTTCAGTCGCACCTCAGTGGTGACCGCACCCCCCCGAGTCCCTTCCTCAGTCCCCGCCCCCGACCGTCCGCGCCCCCTTCTCAGGATCCGCCCCCAACGGCGCCACCGCTCCAGCCCCCGGGGCGGCGGCGATACGTACCCCCGGGCCCACGTTCTGGGAAAAGGAGTGCACGACGCCGCCAGGTCGCACGTCAAACGCCACAGTCGTGGGCTCGGACACCGCCTCCGCCGGCCTCAACGCCACGGCCGCCAGCAGCAACACAGCCCACAGGCTCGCACCTCCGCCGTTCCGCCTTTCGCTGGGCGCCGCCATCTTGGGATCGGGTCCGCAGGGCTGGGGCGGCGACGGGACGCGGCGAGGGACACGTGGGGCGTCCGCTAGAGGCCACGTCGGCGGCGGCGCGGCCACGTGACCTGACGCGCCCCGCCCCCTCCCGCCTGGGGCCGCCATGTTGGGGCGGGGCTTGGACTTACGGGGTGAGTCCCTGCGGTGAGTGGTCCTGGAGTCCGTCCGTGCTGCAATTCCTAACCCTGTGACTAACCCTACGGCTCTTCCAGTTAGTAAGTGTAGTAAATTCCGCCTGGAATGAGGGAAATGGACGATAACCATTGGGCAAATACCTCAGTTGTTGCAGCCAAGATCCCTGGATGGATCTGAAAATTAATAAGGGGAACCCTCGTTTTTAGAATGGAGTGGAGAGGCCGGCAGGTAAAGCTCTGCGCCCTATGACTTCCGGTAATTGCAGACCCAATAGGAAGTCCAGCACCTTGCAGTCCATAGTATGTTAGCCACTACTTCCCGGCCCTAGCAGGAGGAAGGAAGTTTTCCCCTGCCCTGGCAACAGCCCAGCCAATGAGAGATAGCCACAGCCCAGCCAATGAACGATAATTACAGCCAGCTAATGAAAGACAGCCAGAGCCCAGCCAATGAAAGACAGCTACAGCCCAGTCAGTGAGGCAAAGCTACAGCCCAGCCATTAAGGCACAGCCACAGCCCAGCCAATGAGAGACAGCCACCACCCAGCCAATGAGAGATAGCCACAGCCCAGCCAATGGGACACAGCTACAGCTCAGCGAATGAGAGAGCCACAGTCCAGCCAATGAGAGACAGCCACAGTCCAGCCAATGAGAGACAGCCACAGCCCAGCCAATGAGAGACAGCCACAGCCCAGCCAATGAGAGGCCTCCACAGCCAAGCCAATGAGAAGCCGCCACACCTGGAACTGAGACAGTGGACTTTTGTTTATAACCGTCCGTTGCAACTTGCTCTTTCTTCTCTAAGAGTAGTTCTCTCCCTTGTTCTGCAGATTTGCCTCTGGTTGTTGCGGTAGCTTGCTTGTCCTGGGTTGCAGTTCTCTGCTACTCCTGAATAGACCTATTTTTACTGGTAAAATAACTGGCAGTTTTATTTTTTAAGGTTAACAGATCTAAAAATTGGCCGGGGGACGCGGGAGAGTATGATGAACAACAGGATATTTCCCTAGTCTCAAAGTATTTTCCCCCAAGATACTTACTAGTTATAAAGGGAAAAATAGTACTTTTAGAGTGAAGACACCCTCTTTAGCCCAATGATCAAAGTTAATGTCACCAATGTGACGTCAACAACCGGGAAGGACATTTTCAGTGGCGCCTCTCGACTTCCTGCCCCAAGTGCATGACTTCAATCTAATTATTATAAGCAAATATCCTACAAAATCCCAAGCTGAGGGACGTCCCACCAGATAACAGGGCAGTCCTCTTCACAGACATCGTGAAAGACAAAGGCTGAGGCACCATCCGTCACAGGAGGAGGAGGCCAAGGCAACAAAACACAATGTGGGATCCTGGATGGGCTCCTTGTCCTAGTTCAGCCTGTTGTAACAAGAATACCGCAGACCCCGCAGCTTATAAACAAACACACGTTTATTTCTCACAGTTCTGGAGGCTGGAAGTTCAAGATCAAGGTGAGGCACATTTGGTGTCTGATGAGGCCCGCCTCCTGGGCCACAGGCGGCCCTATGCTCATATTCCCACTGTCCTCGCAGGGTGGAAGGGGCAGGAAGCCCTCTGGGGCCTCTCTCCTAAGGCATTCATCCGGTTCATGGGAGGTCCACCCTCATGACCTAATACCCTCCCAAAGGCCCCGCCTCCCCATACTTCCCATCACCGTGGGCGTTAGCTTTCAACATCCGAATTTTGGAAGGACATGTTCAGTCAGTAACAATCCTGGACGAGAAAAAAATGACCTCTACCTATTAGATAACAGGACTGTATTGGTGCTCATTTCCTGGCTTCATTATCCCGATTCAACCATGGTTACATGGTGATGTGAACATTAGGGGAAGCTGGGTGAAGGGTCTCCAGGAACTCTGTACTATTTCTGCAGCTTTTCTGTCAGCCTAAAATTATTTAAAAATAAACTAAAAAGAAAATAATCCCTACCTCAGGGCGTAGTCAGGAAAGTTAACTGAGGAAATGCAGGTGACATTTCTACAAATAAGAATTCTTAACACAAGCTTTCCCCCCACCCCACCCCCTTTTTTGGGTCACAAATTGCTTAAATTTTCAAGAAAACACCAATGGCGAGGTCTGGAGTGTCCAGAATTAAGCTTGTTTTCCTAGTCCCTCCTGACTTGAAAGAACAGAATCCAAAAAGAAAATGGAATAGGTAACCCTTAAGCTGGACTCTATCAAAAAACCTGTCAGGGCCTCAAATCACTCTAACCTCCTCAGATACAGAGGATGAAGGTCAATTTCAGGGAGGTCAGGAGGATCCTCCAGCAGGCTGACAGCTCCACAGATAACCCTAACTCCAAAATTGATGCCCCTCTAGTATGGGCAGCCTGTCTTAAATTGGGATATCTGCTCACATTAAGAAATTTCTTTCTCCTTGCAACTGCCTGCTCTGGGCCCATTAGAAATTGGCTCCATAAACTGGATGATCACAGTCTTATTCCGTGTTTCACACAGCATGGTCCTGTTGATGTCTTTCCCATTACCTCACCTGCTGCGTTTGACCTTCAGTCCATCACTCTGAAGGATTCAATTAGTGGCCAAGTGCTGTTGCTAACGGGATATTTCAATTGTGAGCTGTTTGAGTCTCCCACTGAAGACAGGGAGGTTTGTGTGTGCTTGTTTTCTTTTCAGAAAGACTGAGCCCAAATCTCTCTTGTTTTTCCTTCTTGCTTAAAAAAAATCATTTTTAAGAGAGATTAAAAGTAAAAACAAAACAAAACCCTCATTCCAAAGATCTTGCTTTTTAATCATGACATGAAATCTAGCAGTCCTTAAGGAAACCATTTGGTGACACAAATATCAATGGACAACTCTCTCTCTGTTCAGGACACCATACGTGGGATGGGTGTGGATATAACAGGATTGCACGGAGGAACTCCTTTCTTGAGAATAAACAGTTCTGTATTATGACTGTAGTGTTGGTTACAGGAATCTGTACAGGCGACAAAATGAAATAGACACACACACTCACCCAGGAGCACCTGTAGAGGCTGATAAAATCCATATAAGGTATAGAGTCTTGTTAATTGCATTGCACTCAGGTCAGTTTCCTGATGTTGACAATGTACTATGGTTAGGTAAGGTGTAAGCTGGGTGAAGGGTCCATGGGATCTGTACTAGTTTTGCAATTTCCTATGTGTTCTAGTTTTTGTTTGTTTGTGTTAAAATATCATAAACATGTTTGATGGACCAATGACAAACCAGGAAGTCTCTGCATCCAATATGACACAGGATTTTATGTCCATCGGATATGGGTTCTTGCCAATTAGGGAAGAGATGAGCTTTTCCAACAGGAAAGCCAGCAAGCATATGCACAGGCAGCCTCAAACAGTGCTGGGGACCCCCCACTGACGGATCGGATTCCCCACCAGTGGTGGAGAAAAGTGGCCCACATTACAGCCTGGAAGAGACAAATGCCTCTACCTGCCATCTCTGAGACCTTGACCTTCTGCCAACAGACACTTGTCCTTTTGTAGCTGCCCATCATCCACTCTCCTTTCTGTTGGCACCCCACTTCTATATCCGGGCCTCATTGTTGGGTAGGAATGTGACTGACTGAAGTTAGGCCAATGGATGCTGTTTCATGATAATCTGAGTACTGACTGAGACAGGAGTAGAAGGTTCTGAGGAAGAGTTCCTGCTTGGAGACAAATGCAGGTTTCCAGCTGCCAAGGCTCCTGGAGCAAGCCCAGTGCCCTCTGCCATCAGTTTCTGTCCTTCTGTGACTTGTGACCAGTCCCTTCCTCCACTTTATTTCACAGAGGTTTAAGTGAAAGACATCTTATTCTCAAGACTGGGATTTTAAACATTCATTGACTGAGCTTCGTACCCATAAAACACATTGAGATTGACAACATTGTTCAGTTTGCAATATGGATGACAAGGGACTGATTTCCTTCAGATGTAAAGAAAGTCCACAAATCAGTGAGGTCCATAGATCAAAAGAAAGGTGGGCCAATGATTACTAGTCAACAAGTGTCTTAAAACGTGAAAACATTCCCACACCTAAAAGAAATGTGAGTTCAACTTACAGCGAGATGCCGTGTTTCACCCCTAAGATTGGCAAACATAAAAATATTTGATAGCAGGTAGTACTGGTGGAGGAATGGGGAAACAGGCACACTTCACCCTTCTTAGAGCAGTTTACATGGAGGTGGTTCTCTTTGGAAGGCAATCTGGCAATACTCCGTGAAACTAAAAACGAGTATGCCTTTTGATAATTCTAGGAACCTACCCTATAAACTCAAACATATGCCCAAAATATGTGCAAGACTATTTGTTGCAATTATCACTTACACTGGCGGTTGGTCAATTACAGCCTGTGGCTAAATCTGGCGGGCTGTTTGGTTTTGTAAATAAAGTTTTATTGGCACCCAGCCAAACACTCTTTTACGTATCATCCGTGGCTGCTTTTGAACTAGAAGGGCAGAGTGGAGTAGTTGCACCCAAGGCTGTCTGGCCCACAATGCCTAAAATATTTAGTCTCTGGCCTTTTACAGAGTAAGTCCACTGACCCCTAGTTTATACTGATTTAAACAAAAAAGCCCAGAAAAACTGGTTATCCCTTGATAGGTGTCTGGCAAAATAAATTCCGGCACAGAGGGAGGAATAGAATTCAGGTGTTAAAGATAGAGACTGGCCACAGAATGGGAGAAGATATTTGCAAATGACACTACAGATAAAGGGCTGGTATCCAAGATCTATAAAGAACTTCTCAAACTCAACACCCAAAAAAACAAATAATCAAGTCAAAAAATGGGCAGAAGACATGAACAGACACTTCTCTGAAGAAGACATTTAAATGGCTGACAGACACATGAAAAAATGTTCATCATCATTAGCCGTCAGGGAAATTCAAATCAAAACCACATTGAGATACCACCTTACACGAGTTAGAATGGCAAAAATGGACAGGGAAAGAAACAAATGTTGGAGAGGTTGTGGAGAAAGGGGAACCCTCTTACACTGTTGGTGGGAATGCAAGTTGGTACAGCCACTCTGGAAAACAATGTGGCGGTTCCTCAAAAAATTAAAAATAGAGCTACCCTATGACCCAGCAATTGTACTCCTGGGTATTTACCCCAAAGACACAGATGTAGTGAAAAGAAGGGCCATATGCACCCCAATGTTCATAGCAGCAATGTTCGTAATAGCCAAACTGTGGAAAGAGCTGAGATGCCCTTCAACAGACGAATGGATAAAGAAGATGTGGTTCATATTTACAATGGAATATTACTCAGCCATCAGAAAAGATGAATACCCAACTTTTATACATCAACATGGTTGGGACTAGAGGAGATTATGCTAAGTGAAATAAGTCAAGCAGAGAAAGTCAATGATATGGTTTCACTTATTTGTGGAACATAAGGAATAACATGGAGGACATTAGGAGAAGGAAGGGAAAAATGAAAGGGGGGGGAATCAGAGGGAGAGATGAACCATGAGAGACTATGGACTCTGAGAAACAAACAGGGTTTTAGAGGGGAGGGGGGATTGGTTAGTCCGGTGATGG